AAAATGTTCAACCAGCAAATATAAATAGGAGATTAAACTAGAACAAACAGGAATAAACTAGAGTGAGAAAACAAGACCATAAGGAAGAGTTCAGAACCTCTCAGTTCAGAGCCTAAACCTAAAACTCATCAATACATGAACTAAAACAAAAATAATACGAGAGTCCTGCCTTGATAAATATTTGCCAGTCAAAAAAATATGGATGTCCTAGTTAAGAGAAAATAAAGTTAACACTAAAGTCACTTTGCAAAATTCAGAATACAAAAGGAAAAGAAGTTTGATGGAATTATGGTTCCTATTTTTTCAAAGCAGGTGAAATGTCTCTGGTTCAGGAGCTACATATTGGAGAACAAACTATGCCAGCAACTACAAACTTCAGAAGCATCCACTTCAAATAAAGGATTTGCTATTATTATTAAATAAACTGCATTACTAAGGCAGGTACAGGTGTCTCACTGTAATCCTACTTAAGAGGCTTAGATCCCAGGATGGCCATTTGAAACTTATTTGGGGGGTGTGGGGCTGGTGGTGAGGCTTGAACTCAGGGCCTGACTTTTTCTCTCAAAGTTAGTGCTCTACCACTTTGAGCCACAGAACCACTTTGTTTTTCTGGTGGTTAATTGGAGAGTCTCATGGTGGGTTGGCTTCAACCTATGATCCTCAGATCTCAGCCTCCAGAGTAGCTAGGTTACAGGTGTGACCCACCAGCGCCCAGCTGGTTATAAGACTCTTATGTCCAATTAACCACAAAAAATAGAAGGTGGCACTGTAGCTCACATGGTAGAGCACTAGCCTTGAGCAGAAAGGCTCAGGTAAAGTGCCCAGGCCCGAGTTCAAGCCCCAGGACTGGTACACATAAAAAATAATTGACACTTAAGCCGGGTGCTGGTGGCTCACGCCTGTAATCCTAGCTACTCAGGAAGCTGAGATCTGAGGATCTCGGTTCAAAGCCAGCCCGGGCAGGAGAGACTGTGAGACTCCAATCTCCAATAAACCACCAGAAATATGGAAGTGGCGCTGTAGCTCAAGTGGTAGAGCGCTCGCCTTGAGCTGAAGAGCTGAGGGACAACGCCCAGGCCCAGAGTTCAAGCCCCACGACCGACAAAAAAAAAAACAAATTGACATAAAATAATGCATCAAATCTCTTAAGATTATTTATAATGTAATTAATTTTTTGTAACTTTTTAAAAACATTAGAAAACAAAATTTTAGCAAACAGGAAAAAGATTATATTCCATAGGTTTTTTTTTTTTGTTCTTAACCAAGTTGGCTGTACTATTTCCTGCTTTTTTAACTTTCTGGTTTTTTGAAGGGCTTCACACTTGCTAGGCAGATACCCTACCACTTACTTGAGCCCCTCTCCCAGCCCAATTTTGGTTTATTTTTCAGACAGGGTCTCTAATTTTTGCCCCTGGCCAACTTCAGACCAAGATCTCCTGTGTATACCTATTTCCCTTGTAAGTTGAAATACAGGAATGCACCATTACACTCAGCTAATTTACTGAGATTGGGGGGGGGGGGGGTGGTCTCACTAACTTTTTGTGGCTGGAGTGGCACTAAGTCATAATCTATATGTCCTATGTAGATGCGGTTTTTTTAACCTTTAAAAGAATATCCTTTTCCATACTACTGAACACTATGTTATCTCACTGAATGCTATTCATTTATTATGTTTATCCATAATTTTTTTTTTTGTTGGTGGTGGTCGTGGGCATGAACTGGGTGCTGTCCTTCAGCTCTTCAGCTCAAGGGTAGCACTCTACCATTTGAGCCACAGCGTCACTTCCAGTTTTCTGAGTGGTTTATTGGAGATAAGAGTCTCACAGACTTTCCTGTCTGGGCTGGCTTTGAACTGCAATCCTTAGATCTCAGCCTTCTGAGTAGTTAGGATTACAGGCATGAGCCAACAGCCTCTGGCCTTATCCATAATTTTTTAAAACCCTAACCCAAATGATGGCATTATTCACTACTAAAAACACAATGTATTTAGGCATAAAGTATCCACATTTGTTTCTTTTTTTTTTTATTTTTTTTTATTTTTTATTTTTAGTATCCACATTTGTAATGATCTCAGAGTTATAAAGAGGAAAGAGTAAAATGGTACATATTTAAGGCTCCTAGTGTATGTGTGTGTATATCTCTCTCTTTCTAATTCTCTATCTAAGATACTTCTCCCAAACTACATTCATGCATTTCTACAAGCAAAAACTGTGAAGTTCCAATGTATTGTATCCTTGCTAAGATTAAATACTGTCATTTAAAAAAGTTCTATTTACTTTTTTTTTTTTTTTTGGTCATTTATGAACTCTGGGCCTGGGTGCTGTCCCTCAGCTCTTCAGCTCAAGGCTAGTGCTCTTATCACTTGAGCCACGGTGCCACTTCGAATTTTCTACTGGTTTACTGGAGATGAGTGTCTCACAGCCTTTCCTGCTGGGCTGGCTTAGAACCCCAATCCTCAGATGTCAGCCTCCTGAATAGCTAGGATTACAGGCACGAGCCACTGGCGCCTGGCTTAAAAAGGTTTTATAGATAAAATATGAACTACATTTTTATGTCCTAGATTATTTACAGCAAAATAAATTTTCTCACACTAATATACACAGAAATCCAAATATAATTTATTTTCATTTATTTGCAAGCGTAACAATACAGAACCTGAATAGAACTAGATACTTTCAGCCAGTATTTTTTTGAGACTGGCCCTTTTGCTTTAGCCTCCCAGCAGCCAGGACTGACAGGCACATGCCACACCAGCAATGTAGCTCCCACTGACCTTGAACTTTGATCCTCCTCCCTCAGCTCAATAGATACAATGCCACCATACCTGGCAACTGCATAATTCTGAAGACCTGACCTTAGGGTTGGAAGCATGCCTCAAGAGGTAGAGCACCTGTTTACCAGTTTAAAGCCCTTAGTTCAAACTGCAGTAGCACCAGAAAAACAAAAAAGCAAAAACTGGATGATATTATATTCAAAAATATAGATATCACAAAATGAGTGAGTACATCACAATGAAAAAGGTAGACAACAAATTTCAAGAATTCCTTTATTAACATAATCTTACCTCTTCAAAAACCGCAGCTTTATTAACTTTTTCCCTTGCAATGTCACAGATTTTCAAGATTCCCAGAGCAAAAGCTTTCATGGCAGGATCTTCTATAAAATCTGGATTATGGATATAAAGGCACATAAACACTGTCTGTGCCAAGGAATGGCCTTCTAACCATGTTATCTAGAAAGAAACAAAAGAACACATTTAAGGGAATACAGAGTGTAAAGTCTATAGTGATCCAGAGGTCAAAAGCCAGAGTGCCACAGACCCAAATAAATATGAGATTAATCACAAGATTTAAAAGATAAGGGAAAGGACAGGAAGGACTAGAGTTACAATTAATTCACATTCACTAAAATTTTCAAGAATATCCCTTATATAAAATGCCTAGATCTAGAAATGCCTCCGGTTTCAGAGTTTTTGGATTTGGAGTATTGTACAGACTTTACAGAGAGTATCCCTAACCTGAAATCCAATATGCCTTAAAAAAATAAAATTTTGGGATGTTGGATCATGTTGGATTTTCAGATTACAGATACTCAAACTATACTATAAATGATTAGCTATAATATGGAAAGCATTCCATATTTAGTAATTCAGTATGCGAAATTACTTGCAAATTGTCTCCTTATGTCGTATTGGAAAGAATCAATTCTACTATGTAATTAATAAAAATCCATACACTGTGGAATTCACAAGTTTAGAACTCGAAGTCTAGCTCTCATGCTCCACTATCAACTACCAACTCAACCAACAGCATCAAATGTCACTTAGATAATCCCAAAATTAGAAAATGGTTTTCCTGCCTCAATATCTGATTCTATACCCCAACCACAGACATCTTTCTACAACACAAAGACAAACATTCAACCCTATTCACTGTGTGTTAGTGAACAGTGAGAAGCTGGGAATACCAACAATAATCAATACTAAGGAAATCCTATGTTCAAATTATTATGCTAAATTTTTCCTATTTTTATTTCCCCTAACCCTTTGAGGCTGGTAGTATTCTTCTCCTTTTATTTATAAAAGAACAGCCAAAGAGTTTAAATAATTTGCCCAAGTTTATAGTTACAAGCTACTCTAAAGGGCAAGAAATCTACAATGAATCAAGGCATTTGCTACTGTATTAAAAAACAAAAAATGGAGCCGGGCGCCGGTGGCTCACGCCTGTAATCCTAGCTACTCAGGAAGCTGAGATCTGAGGATCGCGGTTCAAAGCCAGCCTGGGCGGGAAAGACCATGAGACTCTTACGTCCAATAACCACTAGAAAAACGGAAGTGGAGGTAGAGCGCTCACCTTGAGCTGAAGGGTGAGGGACAGCGCTCAGGCCTAGTTCAAGCCCCACGACCGACAAAAAAAAAAAAAAATGGGCCGAGATCTGGTGGCTCACACATGTAATTCTAACTACTTTGAGGCTAAGGTCTGAGTTACCGCGGTTCAAGGTCCATCCAGGAAATAAAGACTAGCACCAGTTCGTCCACCGTGCAAGGCCAGGGACTCAGCGCCTGCAAGGCACCGCAGAGCCCCGTGGGTACTTGGCGTCCCTAGGGCCCCCACACGAGCAGGTGGCGGGCTCTCCGACACGAAGACAAGGGGTCTCAGCCTCTCCAAGAGGAAAAAAGGTCCCCAACTACTCGCCGCGCAACCAGCGCCACCAAGTACCGTCCACAACACCCCATCCCTCTCGGCCCAGCCCCACCCACTGCACGCGCGCGTGCGTACAACCAATGCTCGCGAGCCGTCCCTTCTCCCCTTCGTCTGACTACTTCCTGCTCTTCGGTCAATCCCCCTTCCACGACTTTACCATCGTTGGGCTCAAGGAGGGCTTGATTTCTTCTCGCGAGATTATGAGCAAGCGAGACCGGAAGCCACCCTTCTTTCCCACCCTCTGCCTCCCTGTAATGGGCGTGTCCAGGAAGGGGCGGAGCCCAGGGGCACTAGTTATCTCCGCGGTCCGCGTGTCGGTGCGCTCCGACCCCCCTCGTGTGGCGGGCCCTGGGGACGCCGCGTACCCCTGCGGCCCCTCACTACCCGCTTCGCTCCAAGTAGGACCCCGGTGCTCTGCGGTGCCCACGGAGCTCTGAGGCCCTGGTCAGGTCCAGTACTACGGGGTGACGACCCTGTGCCAGGCGGGCCGTCTGCCCTCCTTCCCGCGCGACTACAGCCTCGTCCTTTGGGTTGGGCTATACTGACCCGAGCGAGGCCGACGCGGAGCGGGTCCCCGCCGCCGGTGAGTCCCCGTCTTGGGCCAGGTGGTTGTGACTCTTAGGGGGCTTTGCTCCTTCACCCTGCCCGGACGCTGTGCCTGGGTCCCAGGCCCGGAGAGGTTGGCCCACGTAGCCTGGGGCAGGTGTAGGCGTACCTTGACTTGTGTCAGTTGAGTGAATAACGCCTCGGTCGTTTTGGGTAGCATTGGAAGTTGGGGTCCCTGACATTGGAGTTTTTATTTGGGGGTGGTGGTCGTGATGGAGGTTGACCTCAGGGCTTGTGCGCTGTTCCTGAGCTCTTTTGCTCAGGGCTAGCGCTATACCACCTTGAGCCACAGCTCCACTTTAGGTTTTCTGCCGGATCTGGCTTTGAACCTCGATCCTCAGATCTCATTCTCCTGAGTAGCTGGGATACAGGAGTGAGCCATCAGCGCCCGGCTTGGAAGTTTTTTATTTTTGTTTTTTGTTGTTTTAGGACCAGTTGGTGGGTGGCTAACGATTGTTTTTTTCTTAACTATTTGGAAAGCAGACTGATCCCTGGCAAGTAGTGATCTATTAGTACGTGAGATGCAGTAGTGTTAATTAACGTGAAATTTAATTGCACTAATTAGGTATTTTATTTCTCAGTACTATCCTCTGACTTAGAAGAGTTGTGCTTAAAGAGTTGAGTAAAGTTTTTTAGTTTTGTAAATACTCCTGCCCTGAAAGCTATATCCTTTCTGACACCATTTTACAGGCACAATGGTTATGAAAGCTTCTGTCGATGATGATTCAGGTTGGGAGCTCAGTGTCCCTGAAAAAATGGAAAAAAGCAATACAAACTGGGTGGACATAACTCACGATTTTGAAGAAGCTTGTCGAGGTGAGTTTGGGTTTTTGTTTTAGAAGTTTAGGATCTTGAAAAGGGAAAAGTAAAATTGTCCTTGTGGTTTCTAAACTTACCTAGACTTATTTAAAAAAAAATCAACAGGTATAGTTTACTGTTTGTTTCCCATACTTATTCTCTGCCCTCTAATTTTACTTTCAGATGGAGTCAATACAGTATATATTTTATATAGCATTAAAAATAGGTGTGTGGCAGTTCCCCTTTATATTCGTCTAAAAAGTAACAAGATAATGATTACATCATAGTAAATTATAACTGGCAATGCACATTACATTGACTGAAAATAGGGGCTGGGAAGGTGGCTCAGTGGTAGAGCACTTGCCTTGCATGTACGAGGCCCTGGGTTCTATTCCTCAGCACCACATAAGAAAAAAGCTGGAAGTGGCCCTTTGGCTCAAGTGGTAGAGTGCTAGCCTTGAGCTGAAGGGCTGAGGGACAGTGCCCAGGCCCAGAGTTCAGGCCCCACGACAGGACCCAAAACAAAAACAAAAACATTGACTAAAAATACTTTCATGTATTTGAAAGTACTTTTGAAAATGGTCAGCTCTTGGTATTCTTTGCCTAAGCTCCTGCAGTGGTTCCTCTTGGAGGTAGAATAAAATCCAGGCTCTTTTCCCATAGTTTTGTAAGAACTGCTACACTACTATTCAGATGTCATTTTTGTACCATTATTTCACCTGTTTTATTCACAGGGTCCTGCTTATTTCATACCAAGGAAGTTTTCTAGGGTCTTTGTCTCTTTTGTTTTCTCTGCTTTCAATTGTTCTATGCCTTAATTCTCTTGCTTAAATGTTACCTCCCCAATGAGAGCTTCAAAACAACTACTGCAAGCAGATTTCTATTCTCTCCTCTTCAGTTACATCCTTAATTGAATCATCATGTTTTATTGTGTTCAGAGTGGTTTGTCACTCTAATAGGAGCTGTAGGAGGGCAGAGATTATGTATGCAACCCTAGCACATAGTATAGTGCCTGGTACAAGTGTTTGGGAATAGGTAGCCAGGGTGGCATATAGATAAAGTCCCAGTTACTCAGGAATCTAAGGCATGGGGACTACTTGAGCCCAGAAGACCATCTTTGTTTAGAGTGTTTAGAACCTTTCTCTATTAACAAACCCATAAAACAGAAATAAGTGGTTGGAGAAATGAGCATGTTTGTAGTTATTAGTAAAGAGGATTAGGGAGAGATAAGAAAACAGATAAGAGGAACAAATGAAGTGAGAGCTTAAACTTCCAAGAGAAGATGGGATGAAGACCCCGATAGTGAAATTAACTTGGGGGAAAGCATAGGTACACCCCAGGATAGGAAGAGTTGATGTTAGGTTGATGAAGAAAGCAGACTTAATTCTGAATAGCAGGAGAAGAATGCTGCATACCTGATGGCTTCTCTTCCCAAGGTTGGAATTTTTGGTAATAATATAGTGGCTGTGCTTGAAAATGCTGTGAAGGAGAGGAGTAAAAATTTGCAGCAGCTTAAGGTGGCTAATAGGGAGCCAGCTGAGTATAAGCAAAATGATAATTTTGTGCTTAACTTTTCCTGTTTCAATTATCTGTTCAGTTAAAGTATGCCTCAGTAAGAGAGTAGGAGCAACATTTTTCCATTTTCCTGGAAGTTGCCCACAAATGTCTAAGGGAAAGAAAAATTACAGTCTAGTTTGTGCTCATAAATCTTTTTTTTTTTTTTGCTATTGGTCGCGGGATTTGAACTCTGGGCCTGGGCACTGTTGCTCAACTCTTCAGCTCAAGGCTAGTGCTCTACCACTTGAGGCACAGTGCTGGTTTTCTGGTGGTTTATTGGAGATAAGAGTGTCAGGAACTTTCCTGCCCAGGCTGGCTTTGAACCGAAATTTTCAGATCTCAGCCTCCTGAGTAGCTAGGATTACAGGCTTGAGCTACCAATGCCCAAATGTGCTCATACATCTTAAAACAATTAGGTGCTTGAAGCCTGTCATCTTGCACTGACTTTTAAGTACTCGCTATCAGGGTACTGTCATTATGAATCTAAATAGAGAAAAAAAAATGACTTGGGCCTTATAGGAGAGGCTATGTTTTTATAAATGAAGATGTGGAGATTATTCTAGATTGAGATAAACTATTTGAGCCAGAGTGAAATGAGTTTTGGCTACAGAATGGTTTTCAGTGGATAGTCTTTAGTGTCACTGCCATTTTTGTTTGTTTTATTCTTAGTTTAAGCTTGTTTTATGAACAGTGGGAAGTTTGAATTTCAGTTTGTAAGTATATTCTCCTTGATATTTAGGACAATGAGTAGAATAGGGTGTTTTCTTAGTAATAGTAAAAACAAACAAAAACATCTTTTTTGCCAGGTAAGGGCAGTCAGATATGCCTCTTGTTAGCTCAGTCACCTTAGGTTAGGTAGTTTAATCTAAGTCTTAGTTCTTTCCTCTTTTGAAAAGAACTTCCACTTTATAGTTTAAGTGTGTGTGTGTGTGTGTGTGTGTGTGAGGTGCATAAATGAAATGCTGTGTGTAGTGTTTGGTTTGAGGTAGGCCCTCTTTTTACTTGTAATTTTGTGTGCTTTTTTTGTTGAAAGTCTATGTAGAAGGTTAATATAATACATGTTATATACTGGTAGATTGAGATGGAGGGAGTGGATAACCTTAGACAAGCTTTTGTACTCCGTCTAGGTGGAGTTAAAGCCTTGCACTAGGATAGTGATTTTCCCTCTGTGACAGTAGAGAGGATTGAGCATACTAGTATTTAACCTTCTATTCCTAAATATTATTGGTAGAATTCAAAACAGCTCATTCATAAGCATAAGGTTATAACTTCCTGTTCTGTTTTGGAAATTTATTAAAAAGTTTGTACTTTCCACCTTGTTTTCATTTAAAGATCTTTCTCTTCCTAATCATTACGGAAATTGGACAGTATAATGGCAGCTGTGCTGGTTTTCCATCTTGTGTATTTGAAATCCTTGGAAGTTTGTGTTCACCCATACTTGTTCAAATTGTAGTTTGAAGACTAAAGATCTGTAGAATTTAGTCTCAACTAACTATAATTTTAGTCCTATTGGTTTCTGTGTGTGTGTGTGTGTGTGTGTGTGTGTGTGTGTGTGTGTGTGTGTGTGTGTGTGTGTGTGTGTGTGTGTGTGTGTGTGTGTGTATGTGTATGCATGCATATGTGCATGTGCCTGTCTACTGTTTGGCAGGTTGTAAGGAACACTGAAGAAAGTAGTTTAGAATGATGGTGGAAAGAAATGCTTTACATGGCTTCCTATTATATGATATATTAGCTGTTTGTGGAAGAACTTATAAGAGGTAAGTGGATTGAGAGGGTATAATATGTCCTTTTGTTGCCAACATCATATCCTATTCTTTATTAAATGAACTCTTTCACTGTCTTTAAATGGCAGGAATGTAAGAATTTACTTCTTTTCTTTACATACAAATTTAGAATTAAAAATAGTGATTGCTCTTCAGCCTGTTCCAGTGTTGAAATAATCAGCTTTATTGTCTTGATTATTGTAGGTTAGATTTCTGCTTTAGTGATTTCTAATAAGTAAATGTTAAGCTATACTCTCAGCACTTAGGAGGCAGAGGCAAGGGGATTTTGAGAGTATATAGTTAGAGCCTATCTCTCTCTCTCACACACACACGTACGCATGTAGATACACACACATACAAACTAAATTTAAAATGGATTTGGTTACATCCACTTTGTTAATTGTCATAGTAGTCTTTCTTGGTAACATTGTGTTGGCATTTGGCAATACAGTGGTGACTTTGTTTTCTTCTTGGTACTGAAAAATAATTACATACTGAAGAAAGTTGTTTTCCTTATGTATTTTTACTCATTCTTTTCATGATTTGCCAATATTCTTTGGATGAAGTACAAACTCGTAATTTCTGTCCTTCCTTCTTTCCTTCTTCTTTCTCTCGCTTTCCCTCTCTCTTGTTATTGTTAGTAGGCAGGTGCTACACATTCCTCCTTGTTCCATTCCTACTTGTTTTGAGGCTCTTAATTTTATTTTCCAAATTATTTTGAATATATGGTAGTGTCATTATTTTGCCTGATAATATATGGTTATTTTAAGTAATTGTAGATTTTCCTTCTCTAGGAAACTGTCTAGTTTAACCATTTCATTTTGTTACCTGTTGAGTTTGTGATCCTAGTATTAGTTTCTATGTTTTCTGATTTCCTCACAATTTAAGGACTTCATTTAAACATAAATAGTTTTCCAACATACTCGATTTTTTTTCCCACCTACCAATTTTTTCTTTTACTCTATGGACAGCTAGCATCTTCTAGTGTTATGACATCTGTAGCTATCTGGAGCCCAGAAGTAAACCATTGTGGGCTGGGAAGATGGCTCAGTGGTAGAGCGCTTGCCTTGCATGCCTGAGGCCCTGGGTTCGATTCCTCAGCACCACATAAGCAAAAAGAAAAAAGCCGGAAGTGGCGCTGTGGCTCAAGTGGTAGAGCGCGCTAGCCTTGAGCTGAAGAGCTGAGGGACAGCGCCCAGGCCCAGAGTTCAGGCCCCATGACCGGACCCAAAAAAAAAAAAAAAAAGAAGTAAACCATTGTTTGCTAACTTTTCATTCTCTGTTATGCTCTAGTCTAGGAGAATATGAGCCCATCCTCTCATTTCATTTTCTTTTCTTTTCTCACTTCATAGTCTTTATTTCAGATTCTGTTGTTTAAAGATCCTCCTCATTTATCTAGTTTCTTTGGCACTTGTCTAGTACTTTGGACTTCTGCTGCTTTATTTCCCACATCTAAAGTGTATGATGCTTAAGCCTATTCTTTGTCTTCTTTTTCTCTCACCCAGGCATTTACAGGTGTTTAGTGTGTATTTGTTTGAAATATACATGAATGCTTAGGTTATATTTCTTCAAACCAGATAACATTTGTCTCTGAGTCTAATGAAGTTTGAGAACCACTGTGTCATAGTAAATGTTTTTTTTGGGGGGGGGGGGAGGGATTTCCTAGAATTAGGTAATTATAGACATAAGCATAAGCAC